GGTTGACAATGTACCAGGTCGCAAGACAGTCGGGTGCAAATGGATCTTCAAGAAGAAAACCGACATGGATGGTAATGTACACACTTATAAGGCGCGACTGGTTGCAAAGGGCTTTTCTCAAACTCCGGGAGTTGATTATGATGAGACCTTTTCACCAGTAGCCAAGATTAAGTCTATTAGGGTTATGCTAGCCATTGCTGCATTTCATGACTATGAAATATGGCAAATGGATGTCAAAATCGCTTTCCTTAATGGAAAGTTGGTCGAGGATGTTTACATGAGTCAGCCAGAGGGTTTTGTCAGTGCAGAGTACCCTAATAGAGTGTGTAAGCTTGAGAAATCCATCTATGAATTAAAGCAAGCACCTCGCAGTTGGAATCTTTGTTTCGATGAGAAAGTCAAAGAGTTTGGCTTTTCGAGGAGTGAAGATGAGTCCTGTGTATATGTCAAGGCTAGTGAGAGTATAGTCAGTTTTTTGGTATTGTATGTGGATGACATACTACTCATAGGAAATGACATCCCAACTTTGCAAGAAGTTAAGTCCTGGCTTGGGAAGTGTTTCGCTATGAAGGACCTTTGGAGAAGCTGCCTATATCCTAGGGATAAGGATTCTGAGAGACAGGAGTAAAAGACTAATTGGACTTAGTCAGAGTACCTACTTGGAGAAAGTGCTGAATAGGTTCAACATGCAGAATTCCAAGAAAGGAGAATTACCGATCCAGAGTAACACCAGACTGAGTAAGACTCAGAGCCCGAGTACAGAGGTTGAGATAGCTGAGATGAGTCGAGTACCTTATGCTTCCGCTGTAGGATCGATCATGTATGCTATGACTTTGTACTCGTCCTGATGTGGCCTTTGCATTGAGCATGGTCAGTAGATATCAGGGGAACCCTGACAAGGCTCACTGGGCTGCGGTAAAGAACATTCTCAAGTACCCGCGGAGGACTAAGGACTGGGTTCTTACCCTCGGTGGGAGTGATGACTTGAGAGTAGAAGGGTATAGTGATGCTAGCTTTCAGACTGATAGGGATAATTTCCGCTCTCAGTCAGACTGGGTCTTTACCTTAAACAGAGGAGCAATTTCTTGGAAAAGTTCCAAACAGGAGACAGTGGCTGATTCAACTTGCGAATCAGAGTATATAGCGGCAAGCGAGGCAGCAAAGGAGGCTATATGGCTAAAGAACTTCATTGAAGACCTTGGAGTTGTACCAACTATAAAGGAGCCCATAGAGATTTTCTGTGATAGTGAAAGTGCAGTTGCCTTAGCCAAGGAACCATGGGATCACGGGAGATCCAGACACATCAACAGAAAATACCATTTCATCAGACATCGAATAGAAGAAGGACTCCTCGTGGCAAAGAGGGTATCATCAGATGAGAACCCGGTAAATCCCCTCACGAAGGGACTGGGTAGGGTTAAGCATCTCCATCATGCAAGGCACATAGGGATGAAGAAGGATGATATTAGTTTTAGTAGTTAGATAGCTTTGAAATGTGTAAATTGTAATTGACATTTGATGATGAATAAAAGTTGTATTTATTTATGAGTAAAGTGTTGCTATCTTTTGTCAATCGTTTACTATCGTTTCATTTTGCATGTTTTGACTTCCAGAATAATTATGTTGTTAAATCATATTATTCGAATTCTCCACAGTCGGTCATATGTTGGAAGTAGGTATGAATCAAGACTGTCATGAGGTGGTTGTAGAGGTCTAAGATGTTGGACATGGCTACAACACTCATGAGGTGCTCATAAGTTCTGAGTATTGGATTCAACCCACGCTCGCTGGTATCACTTCATGGAATTTATCTCGAGTGATCGCGAGACGGTAATATCATATAAGTCTTCAAACCTATAGATATGACTTGTTGCCTATGAGTTGGTTATGCATTGATTGTACGAAAACGCATTGGTAACTCGATGTTACAAAACGTGCCTTTGTGTATGATTCAACAAGTAGTAGAACAAGCATATGAGTCGAAGTTTATCTGTTCCTTCTTGGATTAGAAGCGATATCTGGGCCCCTCGATGATTTTGTGTTGACCCATGTACCGGGCCCGGTCAGAACTAAGTTGATGTGTTCAATTAAGTTCTATGTCAAACAAATCGGAAATCGGGAAACAAACTGCTGGACAATAAGTAAGACATTGTTCCATGTATTTTTCCGGCTGATATCTAGAACAGAGGATTATATGATCACTTATCTTAAATGGCGTATCATCATTATCTCAGTTCCGAGAGACCTTGAAAGAACTACGATTGCTGATCGGTTCCTGAAGTCATTCTTGCAGTTATAGTTATTAGACTTATCCAAGTGGGAGACTGTTGGATTAGGTGTCTAAGTTCATAACTATTTCTGGGATGTACTTGACCCGATTAGCATGGTCCATTTTGGTTGCATGGCATCATGCATTTGGATAGACTAAAATGAGAGAAATAACACTTAAGGATTATTAATATATTATAAGTTCTAATATATTAATAATATTATTTAATTAGTATTGATCAAGAATTAATTTGGAATTAATTAAGTGATCAAAAGAAGACTAATTAAATATATGGGTTGATTGTGTAAATCATCCATACTATTATATAGTGAGCTAATGCTTCATGAATTATCAAGTTGGGCTAAAACCCATAGGATGCTCCATGGTAGTTATAGAAACCCATGGGTCATGGAAATGAAAAGTCATGACAATTAGGGTTTACATGGTGTAACCCTAATTGTAACACACTATATAAGCATCCTTATGTTCACCAAAAATCGGCCACTAAGCATACAAGTGAGGGCTAGCCGATTTCAAGAAGTGTATCATTCCTCTCTAAGTTATTCCAAGTGCATTTGGTGTTGTGTGAGACATTTGAGGCATCACACTTGAGGTGCTAGGCTCACAAGGTGTTCAAGGAATCCAAACTACTTCAAGGTATGTATTTCCTACTAACTTTTAAGGTTAAAAGTTTCCCATGTATGCTAGATAGGTTATGAACCTTGGAAAAACAATTTTGCATGTATCATAGATAAAACATAGATCCAATGTTTCTAGGGTTGCATGTACACCATAGGAGTGTTAGAATGCTCAAAACCCTTTAGTTAGTACATTGGTAGTCACTTAGATAAAACTACAGTACATCTTTACTTTTCCCATTTCATTCACATTGTGATCTTCTCACATAAACGGTAATGAAAACAATATTTTGGTAATGATAGTCATACTTTGGGAAAATACTCACTGTTACAAAGGAACAAACATAAAGAACAGTTGGGTCTTGGTAGAAGACTACTTTAGTTAGAAATATAGGATTTTTCTAGGAAGTTTACAAACATTTACATCAAACACTTACAAACTTTTACATCAAACATTTACAAACACTTTCTTCAAACATATACAAACAATGACACTAAAATACTTATGAACTCACCAGCTTTAATGCTGATCTACTACGCTTTCAAAATGACTTGTATTCTCAGGTCACCAGTAGACAGGTACCGATGACCAGGTTTTGAGAAGATGGAGCACGTTCAAGACTCATCTCTTATTTTGATTCATATTTTGGTGTCTTATATACTATTCAGAACACACTTGTATTAAACTTATACTATTAATGCAATGGATGATGTTGTTGCTTGTTTTACTATTATGCATTGTTGTGATATTGTACATGACGTCCTCCGCCCCCGAACGTTTCCGCCGTTCTGGTTTGGGGGTGTGACATTATCCTCCCATGCATGTGTATTAGCTCCTTTGATGAAGTTGTATAGCTAGGGCTTAGATTTGGGACCCATTGAGCCATGCAAAAGCTCAAAGTTATCGACTTTACGGATTAAGACATGTTTTGGAACTGGCTTTGTGTAATGGACGTTTGGGCTTAAAGGTTTAAGACCTTTTCTAGATGGATTAAAAACTGAGAGCGTACGCGGGGCGTACGCCAGTGTACGCTGCGTGTACTGGGTCAACACCCCGTAGGTTGGTCAAGACTCGGAATACGTCGGGCGTACTGACTGAGTACGCAGGGCGTACTCAGTCAGTGTTGACTTATTTGACCGATTGACTTTTTTTTTTACTTTAACCTTTGACCAGAGGCTTGACCAAAGTTGACCTAAGGGTAATTTGGGTATTTGATAAGTGGCTTATGATTTGGTTTCTATTTGAAGGTGACTAGTAAAGCCGACAACGTTCAAAATTTATTCAGTTGTGGTTAGTATGTGAGGTTAGGTTCCTCACTGTGTTTGGCGGGTCGAAGGTACCAATGCCGACCCATGGTTTATTATGATTACGATGCTAGGTGTCTGCGTGACTCTTGCATGTATGATATCTGATATGTGTCTGTATGAGTACTGGGCAGCAATCGAGGCCGGGCGAATATATTGTATACTATTTATCTTTGTGATACTTGCATGTGTTTATGTGTTTGTATGTATACCGGGCGGGGCCCGATGACTAACAGATTTGTTCCGAGCGGGGCCGGATGACTGGCAGATTTGTTCCGAGCGGGGCCGAATGACTGACAGATTTGTTCCGAGCAGGGCTCGATGTCGGGCGGGGCCCATTATATGTTTGATAGTATGGTATGTGGTATTTTGAGGAACTCACTAAGTTTGTGCTTACGGTTTTCAATTTGTGTTTCAAGTACTTCTAGTTAGAAGGGGAAGAGTTCGGGATGACTGCATTGCACACACCACATTGTTCAGTATTTTACATAACTCTAATGTATTTAGATGTTTATTGACATACTCCGATTTCACTATGGTTTTATTGTTTTTTTCCTTTGGATAATGATTTTATTACTACAAAAATCAAAATTTTTGGAAGGATACACTCTATATGGTAAATAAGCCCGTTGCATAAATAAATTTTTTTAAAAACAAAATTGTCTTGAATGACCGTTTTTTTTTTTTTTATTATATTATTATTATTATTATTTATTTATTTATTTATTTATTTATTATATTGTTGTTATTTATTACTAATAGAAGTAGATGGACGTTAAATGGATAGGGTCCAATCGGAGACCCCACCTGACCTTTCCCCTCAGCTCCAACCGCCGACTCCACTCCTGAGTCGTTTTTGCCTGCTCCCCGACGACCCTTCTCAGTCTCCTTCCCAAATCAAGATGGAGTTTTTCTGCTACAACTCGATTTTTATTTTATTTTTATTTATTTATTTATTTTTTTGCTTTCGACCATCACTGTCTTCATCGCCAAAAAGGTTAAAAAAAAGATGAGTAGGGCTCAGCGCAGATGAATCAACGAATATAGTGACGGTTCGTGGTTCGTTGTGGTCCTTGTGGAAGCATTAAAAAGACTACTCCTTTAACAATCACTAATAAAAATAGGAAATTGGCATACCTCTTCGCTGTCCCCTGCAGCAACCGCACAATGAAAACCCTGGAGTTGACCTAATCGACAATCCAACACAAGGTTCAGTGCCTTCCGGATTCAGTTCAACCTAATGCAGAATCAAGTTCGTATCATTGTTAGCATTCAAGTGAAGGTATCCGTTTAGTTTTTTTTTTTTTTTACACATAAAGTAGACAAATGATTCAGGTTTTGTTTAGATTGAGTCATGTTTTTGGATTAAATTTGGGGTTAAGATTTTGGTTTCAGTTAGGCAGGTTGTTGGGTTTCTATATCGGTGTCACTGTTACGATTTTGGGTACATCTTAACATCAACAACAATGGCGGAGTAATAGTAAATGTGTGTTTTGGCAGGTGAGTTCAGATTGCAAAAATATGTCTTGATGAACAAGGCTAGTTTTATATACCAACAATCATATGGTTTAGAAAACTCTTCATCTGAAGAACAATGGTGGGTCGACAATAAGAGACGATATCATGAGCCTTAAGATGAACCACACCACCACCAATTCAAAAATACCCAGGGGGTACAATCTGCTATTGCATGAGGTACAAGTCTATTGGACTATCTTCCCACACACAGAACTACAGAAGTCATGTGGATATTTTTTTATACAAGTATTAGTAGATTGTCCACGTAAGCATTTCCGAGACAAAAAATAAAAAGCAACTTGTTAGAAGGTCGTATTGAATGTTTTGGTCCTAACCTGAAACTTTGTTACAGATGTTTTGTATAAAAACCAACAGTATTGCCTAAATCATGAAAAAAGGTGAGAAGCTCTTTGATAAATAAGTATTTAGCTTTTGTATTGATATTAATAATAGTAATAATAAGTAATTTAAAATTATTTAGAAATTCCACATCATCGGTTTTGTACACATGACAGATGATGTGGATGATGAAAATTCAAATGGCAACAACTTGTACCACATCATTGATTAAATCAATCTGCCCTGAAAAGTCATTGATTATGATGATGACATCAACAGTGGGAAAACAACTCAAGTTGTATTGAAAAAATTAATTGATAAGAAACTCCTAAGGAGGCTCAGACCATATATACTCTATCTCAACACTTTCAATGAAAAAACAACTCAATTTATAGAAAATATCACGCGATAAGAAATTTCTTGGAAATGATATATCTTTTTCTCTGTATATAGTTCATTTCATTTAGGTGCTCCAACCACATACATTTTGTCTCAACTCTCAGCAAATTTACGCATCCGTGGCATCCCTTAATTTCTTCTTCGTCATTTAAAGGGTGCGCTTGAGTTTGGTGTTGCTCTGGGAATCTGTGGTACGTTCCTCTAACTGTTAAACTGATGAATTATATATAAGTTACCAAGAAAGAAACGAAAGTGCTAATTAATGAAGTTTTATATAAGTTATTTTAAGAAATGTCAGATCCGGAATGTGAGAAACGTATTTTGACTTAATCTAATCAAAGTTGTGAAGTTTTTGAATTAGTGTCGTTAAAAAGATCAAATTAAGCATTTTGTGAAGTGAATACCTGTTTTTTATGTTATAAACCAATGGAATTTGGATAAAAATGAGTCTAATGGTGTGTCTGTGTTGTGGATACAAAAAGAAAATCCAACGGGGCGATTTTCCTTGAGTCATACACATAGATTATGTACCTTTTATATATATATATATATATATATATATATATATATATATATATAATTCTTTTTTGGCTTATTGACTTTTTTTTTTCCTTAACAGAAAAAGCATAGTGAAAAAAGCTTAAAAGTAACTTTTTATTTGATTTTTACTTGAGAGTTGAAACTTCATTTGACCTGATAATATTTGTGTTATTTGATTTTAATGAATTTAAGACTAACAATATTTTTAATTATTAGGGTGATAGACATTATTTAGGACTTTTTAACTTTGATTTGGATTTGTATATTGTTTTTTTATGACGTATATTATATTTTATAATTATTTTTTATTCCGCCTCGAGGCTTACATTGTGGTTTTTTATGACTTGCTTGTATTATACTTTCAAAGGAGTTTTTACATGGTAACCATTTATCTCGGTTATGAGTTGTGCATGGTTTTCCTACATAATAACAGGTTTTATTGGAAACTCGAATCTCTTTGTGTAAAGTTCTTTTCATTGAAGTGCTCATACCACTTGCATTCTCTCTCAACAAATCAACACATCGATGGCATCTTCTTCATCATCTCCCTCTGTTCCGGCCTTTTCTTCTCATTCATGGAAGTACCATGTTTTTCTTAGCTTTAGAGGAGAAGATACTCGCAGAAATTTTGTGGATCATCTCTACTCGGCTCTTGAACAACAAGGAATCTACACCTACAAGGACGATGAAACACTTTCTCGGGGCGAATCAATCGGCCCAGCCCTTATGAAAGCTATAGAAGAATCTCAGATTGCTGTCATCATATTCTCAGAGAACTATGCAGACTCTTCATGGTGCTTAGATGAACTTGCATGTATTATGAAATGCAAGGATATGAAAGGCACAATCGTTATGCCCATATTCTATGGCGTCGATCCCTCTGAAGTACGAAAACAAAAACAAAAATATGGAGAAGCATTTGCCAAGCATGAGTTGGAGAACAAGAAGAAAGTTAAATCTTGGGGACAAGCAGTTGTGGAGGACCCTTGGGGATTGCTCTCTGCACCTCTAGAACAAATCCGGAAATACCAAGAAGCCTTTGCCAAACATGAGTTGGAGCACAAGGCCAAGGTTGAATCTTGGAGAAAAGCACTTGTTGATGCAAGTAACATTTCTGGATGGGAACCCAAGCACGTTGCCAACGGGTAATGTTCTTTTTTGTTTTTGCACTTTTTATGCCTAGAATATGCATGCTCTACAACTCATTTACACTTGTACCTTGTTAGCTTTTTATACAAATATAATTATTCTTGATGATGTTGATGACCGTGTAGATCAATTGATCAGTTATGTATAGGCTGAATTTAAATTATGATGGATTTCATTGACTTCTAATTCTGATTTCTTATTTAACGCCCCGCTTCAAGCTACAACAAAGAAATCCATCTTGCTTTGTTTGTTGCTATTTGAAACTATTCAATGTTTCCCAAGAATATTACTACATTTACTTGTGATGTTAACCTTACAAGTCCTATTTTGAATCTGAACTTTCATGGAGCATGAAACAAATTACTTTTTTATCAATTCGAGTATGTGTTAATAATCCTTGTATATCCAATGTGTAGGCATGAATCAAGGGTTATCAAAGAAATTGTTGACACAATTTCAGAGAGGTTGCAGTTAGTACCTTCAAGTGCAAATGAGGACCTGATCGGAATGGCGGCTCGCATACAACGTTTGAAATCAGAGTTACAAATTGGGTCAGGTGGTGTGCTCATGATTGGAATATGGGGGGTTGGGGGTGGTGGTAAGACTACTCTTGCTTCTTCTATTTATGATGAAATCTCTAGCAAGTTCGATGGTTGTTGCTTTGTACAAAATATCCGGGAGGAATCAAGCAAGATTAATGGTTTGGTAAGCTTGCAAAAAAAAATTATTTCTGGTGTTTTGAAACAAAAGGAAGTGCAGGGAATAGAGAGAGTTGAGGAAGGAAGACGCATAATACAAAATAGGTTATGTCATAGAAAGGTCTTGATTGTTCTTGATGATGTGGATCAGCTTCACCAACTAAAAGCATTAGCCGGATCACATGATTGGTTTGGTGAAGGAAGCCGAGTAATAATGACAACTAGAGATGAGCATATATTAAATGCACACAGAGTAAATGTGACACACAGTATTAGATTGTTAAACAGTGATGAGGCTATTAAGCTATTTTGCAAGCATGCACACCGAGATCACACACCCATGGAAAATTATGAGCAGCTTTCAAAAGAGGTGGTCTCTTATGCCGGTGGGCTTCCATTAGCACTTACAATTCTTGGTTCATTTCTGTGTGACAAAAATATTCATGAGTGGAGGAGTGCATTAGCCAGACTGAAAGAGATTCCAAATGATAATATTCTGGAAACGCTAAAAATCAGCTTTGATGGACTCACAAAGGTTGAGAGAGAGTTGTTCCTTGATATTGCATGTTTCTTTAGGGGGAAGTACAAAGACAAGGCAATGGGGATCTTTGATGCTTGTGGTTTTCATCCAGTTATAGGAGTAAAGGTGTTGATACAAAAGGCTCTCATAACTATTTCAGAAGATGGATATTTTGATATGCATGATCTGGTGCAAGAAATGGGACACTATATTGTTAGAGGGGAACACCCTAAGAACCCTGCAAAACATAGTAGGATTTGGAAGAAGGAAGATGTTTTAAAAATATGTGCTATGGATGCAACCACGGTAATGTTTAAGCTAGCTTAGCATGATATATTATGTATGTATGTATAAACAATCACTTTTGAATCAATCCTGAATCATGACACCATTTTGTTCCTCTATCACAGGAACTTGACAAGATTGAAGCAATAGAAATGGATTTCCCGTTAAAGCAAGCAAAAAAACAAGAACAAGATCTTCATTCGGTTTCTGCAAACATGAAGAACCTTCGGTATATGGAATCGATAGGGGATCCTGCAAAATATTTGTTTACTGACCTTCCACTAAGGGAGCTTTGCTGTCTTATATTGTCCGCAGGCTCTCAAAAGCAACTTTGGGAGGGTTGTAAGGTAGTTTGTATTGTTCATCACTTTATATAATTAACAGATGAAAACAAAGTTGATCATGAATTACAGACATGACTAATCCTGAGTATACTTCAATTATCTATAGTATTGAAAAGCACATGGACCTTTATTCTGTGAATGTCCTTTGTCTTGATAACTATAAAATTTTCAAAATATGATTTCAATCTATTTTTTTGTTGATTAAAAACCATTATAAAATATTGATATCACTGATTTGGGTTTAAAGATATTCTATTATCTTTGTTTTTGTCAAGTGATTTATAGATACTTTATTAAACAGTTGAACACTTCAGATGATTTCCATTTGTGTTTGTCTGTGTGTGTTTGTGTCTGTCTGTGTGTGTGCTATTTTCCTTCAAATCTTGTCACCTTGATACATTTTTGACTTGTTTGCACTTGTACTCAACAGGTGCTTCCAAGTTTGAAGTTATTGGAACTTAGCCATATGAATAAGCTAATCATGACACCAAATTTTAATGGAATTCCAAATCTTGAAAGATTCATTCTTCGTGGCTGTCTGTGTTTAGAAGAAATTCATCCATCGATTGGATGCTTGGAAAAGCTTGTTTTCTTATCTATAGAAAATTGTCGGAGTCTTGAGATATTTCCACCCATTAGGGGAATAAAGAAACTCGAGACCCTTGAATTCACAGAGCACCCCAAACTTGTTAAGTTTCCAAAGATCCACCATCAGAGGATGGAGAATTCAACACATCTTGATTTGGATGATAATAGTGGGAGCGAAGTTGCATCCTACATAGAATCTAGTACAAACTCTGTTGTTAGTTGTTTGAGGTGTGGTTGCAGAGATCTTCCTGGTGTAGAATGTTGTGTAGAGGGGCCTTGTTTATGTCGCAACATATTCTTAGTTTTGTTTCACAACTTGCAAGAACTCCACTTCTTAAGGAAGTTGGATCTGAGCGAGTGCAATTTGGGAAATGAAGATATAGGCTCTGATGTTTTGGAGTTGCCCAACTTGCAAGAACTCAATCTATTCAGAAATAAGTTTTCACAGTTAAGTTTTAGTTGCTTGCAATTTCCTCGGCTCAAATGGCTCGACGTGTCATTCTGCAAAGAACTTGTAGAATTGTCGGAGCTGCCACAAAGTATAGCTATTGTTAGAGCGGATTGTTGTGACTCACTTGAAAGCTTTGGAGGTATCTCAAACTGTAAATGGTTGTGGAAAGTCTCACTTTGGGGGGCTTACAAATTAGGTCCACGTGTTGGTGAGATATTACTAGGCTCCATGCTCCGGGTTTGGCTCTATACTCTACGTACCTTTTGAATTTTGTTCTTTATCATATTAATTAACCCAATTGCATACAGATAAATGAATGTGTTTTCCATGGCAGGGGAATGCTATTGAAGATCATTTTATCAGTTTCACCATTCCATATCAGATTCCAAAGGGGTTTGTAGGGAGGTTCTTTAGGGGAAAAACATTTACAAAGCGTCTCCCACATGTTAAATGGGACCCATATAAAAGGCATATTCAATCTGGTGAAGAAAAGTTTAGACTGCGTCTTCCAGATGATTGGTGCAATGACTTTTCTGGGTTCTTAATACGCATTATATTCCAGGACACAGATATGGAGATTGACATAAGCATCAAGAAGGATCCAGATGAAGAAGATTCTCGGTTTGAGATTTGGCATGAGTCTAATGAAACACCAGAGCCTGAATCTGATGGAGAAGTAAAGACATATGTGGGATATGTTTCCTTTAGTTCATTGAGGCAAACCACATCATTGAATTCATCATACAGTATTATTTCATTTTCCATAAAGAGCAATTGGACTTCGTTTGCAGTTGAGCTCGTTCCTAGAAAAAGTAAAGATGATCCCGTGCAAACAACCAAAGTTGCAACAGATTGCTCAGAATTTTGGCATGAGGAAAATGATGAATATAAAGCATTTATGATCCAAGATAATTCAAAATATTCTATCAATATTATATGGAAAGCTTAGAAAAACATCTAACAAAACCATACACCCATAGGACGTCTGTCGACTCGTTGCCAGTTCGTATAGTCTGTATAGTCTGAGTGACTCTGAACTTATGGTTGTGATTACACTGCAACATACATCGAGAAACAAATTGCAAAGGGAGGAGAACAGATGTCCTGAAGATGATACCATAAAATATTTTGAGTATTGAGAGAGAATGCTTTGTATATAATTTCAAAGTATGTTTATTATGAAGGTTGTAACAGATCAAAGTTTTCGTGGTTCGATTTGAATGAATGAAGTTTATTTCAAAGTATGTTTATTATGAATGTTGTATGTTTATGTTTTCTAAAGTATGTTTTGTAACTTACTTAAAGTATGTTTATTATTCAGAATACCGGTGTGTGTAATTTTATATAAAACATGGAATATTTGTATAATTTTTATTAAACACCTAGCTTTTTTAAACGGGTAATTAAATAAGAAAAAGGGAAAACGAAAACGAAAAACAAATTTTTTTTTTACATAATAATCACATAATACCTTATGTGATTACAAAAAATAATAATATTAATAAACGAAAACAAAAATAAAAAAAAATCGAAAAAAAAATAAAAAAACCAAGATCCGCAGAGGTGTTCATGGTTCCGCAGAGGTGTTTATGGTTCCGTAGAACCCCCTCTGCGGAACCTGTGGTCATTTTCCAAAATTCTCATTTACATGGTCATTTTCTTCAAAACCCCCTCCTTTTTGGTTATTTCTCGAAATTTTTCTTATGGAAATATTTGTTCAATAATAATTGAAATAAATAAATAAATGACTGAGATAATACATATTAACATCCAATAATATACGAAAATGACATCTTTAAAAAGGTAAAATAATATATTAAAGTAAATATCTATATTCAAATGTAAGAAATGTTAATATTATGTATTGATAATAGTTAATACGTTTTTTTGTGTAAGACCTATTTCTCTTTATTTTTATTTTCAAAACCCAAGATGGCATACTTCGTTTCCCACCTTCCCATCGCAGAAAATATTATAATTTTTTTTATTAAACAACTATTCATTCATATATCGAGTAAAAATAAATGGTTAACTAAATACGTAATATTTAAAAAATTGCACTCCTCGGAAATGACAACTATTTCATCGAGGTAATTATGACATTACGACTTTGGAGATTTATTACCATTCAACATAGAGGCAAGAAGATGATTAGACCGGCCCTCCTTGTCTAAATTTTCAGATTTTAAAATTGAGTTTTTGTCATAAAAGTCCCTGAATTTACATAAACAAATTGGTTATGTCCAAAATCGATTTTTTTTTGCCACAGATACCTCACATTTTCCCATCATGTTTCATTTCAATGTTTTTCACCAGTTCCCCTTTACCAACGGGTTACATCCCCCTTTGCAACCGGTAACATTGTTAAGGCACTCTCCTCCGTTTCTCTTCGTTAACAAAGTACACTCTGTCAACATTGAGACACACAACCTGCCACCCTCCCATGCTACTACTTCTTCGGATGTAGGTAATAGGAACTCAAACGTTAAACTCCATCTGGTGAAGCATTGTCGTTATCTGAAGCACTCCATCTGGTGAAGCATTCTCGTTGTCTGAAGCTAGGGTTTTTTCAAGAGGTAAGAAATTACGGTCTGATCATGGTTTTTACGAGAAATCACCTCCATTAATTGCTTACTTTTCATGATAATGGTTACGATTGTGCATGGGTTAGAAATGGGTTCTTCAGCCGATGGTTACGACGACCCATTAAATGAGATGGATTTTGAGCTGCACGGGATTTACATGGATCATGAACCATGACAGGAGTTTGTATCAAGGCTTGATATATGTAAGGATGATTTTCTTAACATTCTACTTTGTGACTGATGAGGTGAAAGATCTAGTGGACCATGGTAATGATTTTCAAAACGATGAGGACGCAGAGGAAGTAGTGACGAACAACTACATAATACATGATCCAAATGTTAGGTGGTATAAGATGGAACCTAAGTTAGGGGACGTGTTTGAACCACCTGCACAACTGAAATTCTATGTGACAAACTATGCAGTAAATTGAGGGTACCAAACATACTTTCAAAAGAGTGACAATAGAAGAATTATTGCAAGATGTGGTAAGAGACATGAAGATAATAAATGCCCTTTTAGACTTTATGCAACTTGGATGTACAATAACAGAACCTTCCAGGTTAAGGCAATGAATTATGAGCATCTTTGTTCTAGAGTGTTTAAATTTGGGTCTATTGTTACCCCGTAATGGATTGGAAGACATTATGTTACCGAGATAGCAAATAAGCCTAAAGTTAAACTTAGGGAGATGATCAGTGACATCAAACAAAGGTATAGATGTGTGGTATCTAGAGGACAAGTTAGAAGGGCATAACAGTGGGCAAAAGAACTGATTGAGGGTAAATTAAATGAACACTATGCAAAAATTTGGGATTATGCCCAAGAGATGTTGAGATCAAACCCTGGGTCTACATGCAAAGTTGGTGTTACTAACAATCCAGATGAGAAGAATTATTTTAAAAATCCTAAAGGGTCAGGTAAAAGGTGAATTACTCACAGCCATAGGTAAAGATGCTAATAACCAAGTGTTCCCAATAGCTTGGGTTGTTGTTGATGTGGAAAACAAGGATAATTGGACCTGGTTTCTGGAGCTTCTGAAGGATGATCTTGACCTTGGTACTGGTGTAGATTTGGTTGTTATTTCTGATCAACATAAAGTAAGTTCCCTTATAATCATAGTGTATTTCTATATGGTTATAAATGTTGATATACTATGTTTTTTCACAGGGTTTGCTTGAATCTGTTAAGGTTATTTTGCCACATGTGGAGCACAAACAATGTGCTAGACACATTTATGCAAATTTTAATAAAGCTTTCTCTGGATTGGAGTTGAAGAAGTTGTTCTGGGCTTGTGCAATGAGTTGTCTTGAAGGTAACTTATTGAGAAACATGGAAAAAATAAAGACTATAAGCCCTAATACATATGAGTATCTAATGTCAAAAGAACCCAAAACATGGTGCAGAGCTTACATGAGTGTAGGGTTTGCTTGTGAGGCAGTGGAGAATGGTATTTCAGAGTGTTTCAACTTCCTAGTTGTAGAAGCTAGGAAAAAACCTTTGATCACAATGCTTGAGGAGATAAGGATATACATCATGGATATGTTTTCCTTTATGAATGATAAATGCAGTAAATGGAAAAGGTAATATATGTCTAGAAGTGATTAAGAAGATGAATCTTTTTGGAAAGAACTTTAGGTAAGACACAAAATAATTGTTTTTTTCTAACTGTCATTATAATTGATATATAATGACTAATACATACTCTTTTGTCTTCATGCAGGGTTTGGTTAGTAGTTAATAGCCTAGGAAATGTATTTGAAGTGAGAAGAGAATGTGCTAGTTACAAGGTAGATTTTGATGGTAGGGTTTGTTCTTGCTGATTATGGGATTTGTCTGGAAACCCTTGTGTCCATGCCATAACAGCCATTAATTATATCCATCAAACTCCAGAGGGATATATTAATGACTACTTTTCAGTGAATAAGTTCAAGGAATGCTACTCTACAAACATTAGTCATGTGAATGAGAGTAATATGTGGCCTGTAACTGGATACAACAAGCCTTTGCCACCTGTTGGTAGGAAAATGCCTGGTAGGCCCAGAACCAAGAGAAGGAGGCATGCAAGTGAGAAAGAGAGTAAGTTTAGTTCCACTTCAAGGGTGAAACCCCCAAGGACAGTAAGATGTGCTAATAGTCTTGAGTATGGGCATAATAAAAAAGGCTGCAAGAATGAAAAAAAGGATACCAATTCCTATGCCACCAAAGAAGAATGGGAGGCCTAGGAAAGGTGATGTAGCTGGATCCAATCAACATGCCATTCAACCACCTATAACATCAACTGTACCCACTAAACATAGTCAACAAGCAAGGCAACAAGATTGTCTACATGCTTCAAGTTCTAACATCGGTAAGAAAATGAGGAAATTAGGTTTAAGAGGCCTAAGTTTTAGAGTTGGTGGCATTGTATATGTGGGTAGTCAGTTAAGTGAAGTAACTATTCCAAGTGTTAGAAGGAAGAAATTGCGTGTAAGAAGGCCAAATCTTAGGAAGTCAACAACCAAATTTCAGGATGATTTCAACAACCAAGTTCCAGTTGTTAATGATATTCCAAATGACGTTGCTCAAGCTCCTACTGTTAATGATGTTCCTTTGGTGAATGAGGTGATAGAATAGGAAGAAATTGAGGTGTCAGTGAAGGTGCCAGAGTCAGTTGTTAATGAAGTTCATTTGGTCAATAACCAAGTTCCAGTTGTTAATGATATTCCAAATGATGTTGCTCAAGCTCCTGCTGTTAATGATGTTCCTTTGGTGAATGAGGAGATAGAAGAGGAAGATGACATTATGGTGCTAGAAGAAGAAGTAGTTGATGTTCCAGTAAAGGTTGCCCTAGATCTAAAAGAGAGTCTTGATGAAGTTGGAGATGCAATTGATCAAATTCTTGGTTCTGGAAATGCATCAGATGCATCTAATGTTCCATTGGTGAATGAAGGTGGTATAGAACCTGAATTCACTGAAGGACATGCATCAGATGTTCTCCCAAACAAAATCAAGATAAGTGTAGAAGGAATAGCAGATTTACTTGAAGCAGGATATTCCATGGCTGAAAATGAAAGCATGGGGAGGTTGAAAATTGAACTTGATGACACTTCACCAGTTCAGATGGTAGTTTATTAACCTTGTAATTTTAAATATATGTTTTTTCCCTTTATATAGGTTTGTTATTGCTTGCATCAGGACTTAAATAAGGATGAGCCTGATGTTGATGAAGGTGAAGTTGACTTTGTAAATGATGTTCTAAATGATGAAGGTGAAGGTGTTGAAAATCAAGATGATGGTGATGTGATTGAAAGTGAAGGTGAAGGTGAAGGTGTTAATGATGGGAATGAGGCTGCTGATGATGTTCTAAATAATGAGGTTGTTGATGATGGGAATAAGGTTGCTGATGATGGGAATGAGGCTGATGATGAAGGACATTTGATAGTGCCTAAGACAAGGAAAAGAAAGCCATCAGAGAGGATCACTAAACTGAAGCTTAAAAAGGCAGTTTTTGATAAAGATGGGGGTGGTTCCACATGTTCAAATCTAGTGAATTTGGAGTAGTTAGGTATGTATATGGGGGATTTATGTGGGGATGGTATACTTGTGCATTTGCATAGGAAGCCCTTTTTGGTACATTTAGTACATCTT